GAAAATCTCATATATAATAAAAATAAACTCATTCAACAAACTTTTCGTAATAATAATAATGATTACATCATGTAAAATATTATAGCAGAATATTAGTGACGTTTATCACAAATCTATCCAACTAAAACCAAACAAACTCTTGTCTCAGAACTAATGATTTCTGAAGGTGTTTTTCAGCAATGAAAGGAAACAGAAATTCACTGAGTCCTCATTTGGAAATATAAAATACTGAACTACCTTCTTATCAAGTATTAAGGTTCGTTTTGTCGTAGCACACTTTTCACCTGTATGGGAACAGAATGTATATCACTCAAGAATTATCTGAAGCTGTGTTTCTCTAGAAAACCATAGTCAAAACTTTTTTGAGCAATGTTTAACTTTACCCCGAAGGATTGAGGTGTTTTTGCGTTTTATACTGCTATATACTGATAAGTAGTTGTACACTTCAAAAAAGCAGTCATCTCACACTTTCTATTCTTGTTGGTTTCAACAAATATTATCTTCTTACAAAAGTTGATCATAAATAAAACTCTTGAACTGTTCATGTTTAAACGAACGCATGTATTGCAGATTTGCATTAGGAGAAATGAAGTAATTGCAGGCTTCTTACTTACAAGACAATACTTCCTACCGTAAGAGTTAATCAATTTAATCACCTGTTATTTTTTTCCTTCACTTTCCCAGTGGAACATAGGGCTTCAAGCTAGAGGCTTGAAGTTTCTGTAGCAGTGTTTATTTTTACAGGATGAGGTTGCTAGCCTCATGCCTAACCTTTCCTCTTTACCAACTTTTTATTAATGTTTTGGTGAGGTAAAGGAGTGAGTCGGTCGGGGATCGAACCCCAGACCATGTGCATGGTCGGCAAATGTCCTAAGCACTGTGCCACCGCCTCACACAATCACCTGTTATTACACATATGTATTCCACAGATTATCAGATTTTATGAAAAATACCAAACTAGAATTTTATCATAATTGGTTTATAGAAAACTTCATGCCAGTGTTTACCAGGAATATGTTACATGTTGACTTTAATTTACTTCTGATTTCTCGTTGATCATTTGTTCAATAAAGTACTTTCTAGAATACTATCGATAATCAAAATAGGAATACCCTAAATGGTGTAGTTTCTCCCTTCAGCATTGACTGGAGTGAATTCGAACCCCAGACAACACTGAATGTCTACTTTACCGATGAATACCAACATGCATGAAACCCTAATAAAGGTTAGCTTCATGAAGAATGGCTTTTAAAGTTCAAACCATGATCTATTGAACAAAGTATGCATAGGCCAATAAGAACAACCACTCTATGAGTGAAGAATACTTATAAATTAGGATGTAAACGTTAAAACTTAATTGTATTTCGGGATGTTTTTGTTTCTAGGCATACATTCTAAAGTCGCATTGCCAACTTTCTTTACTTCCTCATGGAGCACTTATCGACTGATGATGATATTTAGCACGCATTGAGATATTGGATATCCAAAACTCGAGGCCAGTGAAAAATTCAGCCTGATTAATCACAACTTCACGAGTCGATTGACTTTGCAAAGCTAAGTCATCTTGGAGTTTTAGGCTTAATTAGATTCGAAAGCTAAAGGTTACATCTTCCAATAGTCTGTATTTATGTCATCCTGCTGATCAGTACTCAACTTCAACAATGAAGAGCCTCAAACTAGGATCAAAACAGCTCTTCAGTGCTCCTCAGTTTCCAATGATTCTCTAACTAATATTATTTCGTTATGAAATCTACATTGACAAAAATGTCTTATCTCACCATATTAGATGCTTATGGTATATTATATTGACAGACTCCCATGTAATATCTCTTTTTTTATTTCATTGGTATTCCATTTGAGTAATGAGCAGATTTTTATTCACATAATATATATTCCAGTGATTAGTCACATGACATAAAAGTAGCCAGTTTTAGCTAAATCAATAAACAACTCATGTTGAATAAATTTAACACTTTCTAACCAGTTTAAATCGTAAAAAACCAAAGAGAGATTTTAATTTATACGACACAAGGCATAAATAGGATCAAAAGTCAGTGAATTTACAAACTAATATGAAAAGTATTTGCACCTGATTTTAGTCACGCGTTAAACAAGGTACTGATGTCATTCATTTCATTATAGTTGCTTTCATTACAGTGTTGTAGGGATCATCACATTAGAATGAGCAAGATTTGAACCCAACTCACTGAGTAGTGAAGTTGTAGACTCTACTCAGACACTCAGATCAACCCTGGCCATTATCTGTAAAGACAGGATTATGTATTCAAATGGATCACTGATGTAGCTGTCAGATGTTTGGTGTTGATAAAATTCCACTAGTTCAATTTTCAGTGTACCCATTAAAGTGATTAACATAATACTGAGAGTGTATTATCAGTAAGATTATATTAATGTGTCTATAGATTTACAACTTGTACTTATATAACCTTCACCAGCCACTTGCACGCTCATACACTAGATAGAGAACTACACCTACTGCCTATAGGCTGTGTTCTCAACACATTGGATTTAACAGGATTCGAATTCATAATCCCTTTGTTAGACATCAAATGTTTTTACACACATTTTATTGCATAAAACATAGAATATTGAAGATAATAGCGACATCCATTGATGTTATCTAAAATTTTAGCGTGACATGATACTAGTCCATTTTAAAATTAAGAATATTTTCTTAATAAAATTATAACTGATTAAAAATGCCCATTAAAATTTTCAAAAGAATAGACGCGGAACAAAGAGTACTCCTTTCGATAAATTCATCATCAGGTTCTACAATTATATATACATTATAATGAATGAATGAATGAATTAGTCTTATGAACGACATTAATGTTTAAATAACATCAAATCAATAATGTTGATAAATTACAGCTGAACAGCATCAACATAAAATAAACTGAATGTCAGAGTTATGTTGGTTGTTGCTCTAGGAACTTGATTTTTCGTGCTTGAGAACATATCCCACTATGGCTAAGTAAAGGTGTAGTTAAAACCATTAACAGTTCGATATTAGACAATCTAGTGCAAACCGGTCACAAAGCCAGCGTAGAAGAATCCTTCTCTATAATATACCGGGTGCCTAACAAACTACCAAAATCGTCGAAGCACCGCATACTCCAAACAGCAGAGGCTATCGCAATTCGCCTCAAACAACCAGTGCTCTGTGTCCAAAAGAAACAAGTCCAGCCCCTACTACTGCCCTGGCCCTCAGTAGAGACTATAAGCTCATGAATTTGCACTATTACCTTTCCTAATTCTTCTGACATTCAGCTTATTTTATGTTGATGCTGTTCAGCTGTAATTTATCAACATTATTGATTTGATGTTATTTAAACATTAATGTCGTTCATAAGACTAATTCATTCATTCATTATAATGTATATATAATTGTAGAACCTGATAATGAATTTATCGAAAAGACTGCAGCTGCGGAGCCAGCTACATTGGGCGTACAATTAGGCAGGTTCATCATCGTATTTCCGAACATCATCCAGCATGGTTAAACAAGGGACAAACAAGATCTATTCGTAGCTCTAAGGTTGACGTTAATACTGCATTTAAAATTATTTATCGCATTCCGACTAATCTTAATTTTGCTCTACGAGTACGTCTTCTACAGACAGCTGAAGCAATCAGGATTCACCTTAAGAAGACAAGCCTATGTGTTCAGAAGAAATCTGTACAGCCACTTTCTTTACCGTGGCCATCGTTACAAGAATGCATAAACAGGACTACGTCGTCCCCCTCCCCCTAAACCTATCAAAATTATAATTGTCCAAATTATTTTATTTTGTTTTTATTTATTTTCACTTCATCTTTAATTACGTGTTATCCTTGTAAAATTAATTTATTCTATCCACTTCTACTTTTAAATGTGTATTGATTTTCTTCGTTAATTATCAACCCATTGACATTTTGACACTTTAATTATTGTTAACAAACATATCACCACTTGTTTGGTAAACTGTTGTGTATTGTAATAAAAATGCTATGTATATTAGAGTAGAGCCAGAGATGAGGATCTAATTGAAAAGTAAATATTTCTTCGCTCAATCTTTCTGTTTTCCAAATGTCTAAATGGGGATTTTTTTCTGTATTGAAAATTATATTCAGTGAATTCTGTTGATCTTTATGTCAAGATCCATAAATTTCCGTTCGAATATTTTTCTCCTCAATCTAATAATAAGTAGCTATCTATCAACAGAAAGTTTCCCTATTTTACTTAATAAAGTATCTGTGGTAGGAGTTGGGAGTGAGGAAAACCGACTAATGAATAAAAACATCCATGGATAACAATCTTCTTTTATATAGATTTGTCAGTTTTTGTTTCTCTAATCAATGGCATGTAAAAGATTTTTCTTAAGTACCAATAAAAATGATACAAACATCGAATACACTCGTGTGTGCTTTTTATTCAGTTTCAAGTTTGCTCAGACGAGATGACTTCAGCTGGAGAATCACTGAAAACCAGAGAGTACTGGAAAGCTGCTTCGTCCTAGTTTGCAACTCTTCATCAGTACGCACCCACTAGGATGGAGTCTATTAGCCGATGAATTCTAATTTCTGCCTATTCTTTATTTAGTGCTAAATGTTTGCACGCTGAATGTGACAAGATTTTAAAATATTCAGTTAGTTAGAATTCAACACCACCCATTCTCACCAGGCTATGAGCGAAGTCTTGGAAGTCTGACAATTCTAACCAGTCGAATAGACGGTAATGTCTGGAGCAGAGTTCAAACCTAGTACCCCTGGCTGAAAGTCACGTGACTACACAAATAAACCTCATATGAATTATAGACAATAATGAACTGGCTCCATTAAGTTTTAGGTCAGTTTAATTGAATAATGATACAGCTGTCTGATGGTGACCACCCTCGAGTATAAAATCAAATCTAATGAATCAGTAACAGTGTCATTAAAAGTAGATAAATAAATATGCAAAAATAATTAACAAAAAGAAAAGGGTTTTAACTTACTGTAAATCACTTTGGTACATCCAGTTTCTTTGTTACAATTTACTATCAGTGGTATTTTATGATAATAATTATTACAATTACAATGTCAGATGTAATAGTATAAATCTCTTTAAAGTAATTGTATGAGGTAGTTTGAGAAGAGAAAAAAGCCAGAAGGGATCTGAATAATACTCTGGTTAATAATGATAATAATTCTTGGGAAAATTCTCAAGTTTATTCACAAGTTAAATTAGGTGTATTTATTATTGACGCAGAGCCGGGAACACGACATAAGAATGTATGTGACTGAGCCACATTCTTTTTATGTATTTATTTGCTTTGAATGTTAGTTCGTGTATTTTTTTCCCCTTTTCTACTTGTTCTTCCTCTTGTTCTTGTTCTTCTTCTAATCTACTGAATCCTTTTGCTTTCGGCCAAACGTAAAGAGGAAAAAATTGGGTGAAACACATTAAGGCAATGTGGTTGTGTGTGTGTGTGTGTGTATTTATATGCGTGTGTGAACCAGTTCACGTCTCCAATTTCCTTTTCCACCCTCTCTCATTCTCTCTGTCTCTTCCTCTCAATCACTTACTTTTCGCTTTATAATCATCGTCTATAGCCTTTGGTAGTGTGTAATCCTGTTATTTGCTTTGGTACGATGATAATTTGTGGTGGTGGTGGTGGTTGTGACTGTCTTCTTATCGCCTTTAACAAAATCCATCTGTCTTACTTACTTACTTACTTACCTCTTATCTTTTGGTGCTTGTTCCTCCTTTTTTTAGGCACGTGGAAAATTTTTCCTAGTCTAATATCTGTCTAATCCCTACCCTAGGTCGTCGTCATCGTCTAGGTGCTAGTTCGGTTTTACATGTCACTCACTCCACCCTGTTTTTTTTTCACTTTAAGTTATCCATCCATCCATCCATCTATCTATCCATCCATCCATCCATCCATCCGTTCATTCATTCATTCATTACAAACTCACTCGCCACCCATATTAAAACTAATTTTACTATCCCTTTACTTTTCATTCCACCTTAGGCTGTTGCAGAATCCATTTTCAAAGACAGCATGAGGTTATCTCCGTTTTTTCTCTTCTTCTTTTGGTTAAAAAGACAACACATATTTCTGTTAGTGTTACTGCTTCCACTACTATTTCTACTACGACTATACTACTACTACTACTACTATCACTTCACTATTGTTACTGTTATTCTTTTAACATCCATCCACCCTTTAGGACGTTAACAAAATCACCACCCTCACCATTACCGCCTAGAAAGAGAACCTGATCCAAGACTTATTTTAAGCAAGGGTGGTGAAGATTTTATTTCACCTTGTGCTATTACCACTTTAAATGGTTCATCTTGACACTCCCAAAAACAGGCGGCAGGGCTAGAAACAGTCACAGTATTTAGAGAGGTAAAAGAAAACCGGGTTGGTGGGATAGACACACATACGATATACAAAACAAGGATTGAATTTCATTGTCCGTATATCACTATTTTTATACAAGACATTGTTATGCTGTCAGTATTTATTTGAATCGAATCACACACAGAGGAAATGTTCCTAGGACAAACGTGAGGTGAAAATGTCTGGGTTTGGCCAGGTAAGAGCAATAATAAGAGTAGAAGACAACCAGCTGTGTGTAGTAACTCTTTATCTTTGTTACTATTACTGTCGCCTTTTTTTTCACCTTGTCTCTCTATTTCCCACATCAATAAAATATGCTGGCACAAGAACAAATTGTCCCATTCTAGCCTTGAAAACAAGTACACATTCAAACACACGCACACGCACACACACACACATACAAACTGAATTAACCAAATGAACAATGAAATCTTGATAGTATAATGGAAGCTGGAAATAAAACGAAGCGACGCTTATAAAATCAATCACCAGTGCCATAGACTTAATGACATACATGTCCCGATAAATATCTAGCCTTTTTCTTCTTCTTTCTTCATTTTATAAGTTGACATTAAAAAAAAAATAATAATGCAGAGAAGGAACCATAGCAGTCATTATCGGGGCGTCAACATTCATTCACAGACATACAAATCAACAACAAATTTCCCCAGAATAAAAGATGAAGGCACCTACAGTAGCAGCCTAGACTGTTTTTTGGACTGAGCATGTGAGTAAGGTCATTTTCACACTTAAATGAATTCGTTTGCCTTTTTTGTTCAGAAAAAAATAAATGAAGGCAACAAAAATGATAAAGAAAGTAGCTGAGGAAAATGGTACACGCGCGCTCGCGCAAGAGAGAGAGACATAAAATGAAATGCGAGAATGAGAAGTGATAAGAATCAGGATTTAACTATCTCTTTTCCTCATTTCCTGGTTATTTGAAGTGAAATGGAAAATGGTCGATTTCTTTTCGTTACTTTTCATTGTTTATATAAAAATGTAACAGTAGTGATGGTATTAGTCGTTGGTGAATAGGGGGATTAGTTATGAGAAGACAAGAAGATTAGCTGAACGATATCCCGACATGATCTACTATGCCTATAATTACTAGTACTAAGCCTGATTTCTCTGTATTTCATTGTTTCCATTTGTCTGACTAGGTGAACTGTAATTTGTTTAACCTACATATGAACTTGTACATAGACAAGTCTCTTATATTTGTTGTTAATTCATGCATTTCACCCATTCTCCTTTATTGTTCACCCCACTTATTCTTCCTTGGACTTCTCAAAAAAGACTATTTCATATTACGTAGGACATACGTTACGTATGCCTAGTCATCGCCTTCCTCGATGGGTGATGTTAGCTGACATATGGTCAGACTGGAAAAGAGTTAGCGGCGGTCGAACCAAAACATGGCTTTATCAGTCAATGAAATCCACAACAGTTACTTTAAGCCACGTAGGAAGGTGTAGACTTCCTGGTGGGGATCCTCGGGACAGTAAACACTAGTGGCTGGAGACAGTTAGTGATAAGGCTCAAAGTCGTTATCATTGGCGCAGATCCACCCACTCCTTGTGACTTATGATTTCCAATGAAACTATATTGTTCTTTGTTATTACTATTCCTTTTATCTCATATGCCTGTCTACTGTCTCTATTATGCATTTCTTCTACTTTCTTCTCTTGCTTTGTATGCTACATGGAGGGTGGCGACTTGAGCTGCTGCACATCGGTGCGAAGTTCTGTGGTGAAAACAGACATAGAGACGTAGAGCACTAAGACTGTAAGTAGGGTTAGTGATGCGCCTTCGACTCAGCTAACAGACATTACTGTCTGTGATGATATTAGATGGTTGGAGGCAATTGGCAGGAAGCCTTGGACCTAGGCACTGAAGAGTGCCAACTAGCACGAAACCTAGGTCCAAGGCTTCTTGCCGATTGCCTCCAACCATCTAATATAATCACAAACAATGTACACCGTGATGGCGAGCTACCTAGAATGGTGGTCACATTATAGCCTGACTGACAGAATTCAGTCTGCACCAAAGAGAGGACTAGACGCATCACACTAGTTACTAGTGTCAAATCAAAATAGACATTATTGTCATTCCCAGTGGAAAGTAGGGTTTCAAGCTGGGGACTTGAAGTTTCGGTAGCAGTGATGTTTATTTTTACGGGATGGGGTTGCTGCTGGCCCCGTGCCCAACCATCCCTCTTTACCAGTCTTATTACTGGCTTAACGAGGTGAAGGAGTGCGTCGGCCGGGAATCGAACCCCGGACCACACGCGTGGTTGGCCAGCATTCTAACACTGTGCCACCGACGCACACTATTGGCAGTATGTACTTCAATTCCTACAAGTACTTTGCTAAAGTTAACTTGTCTGATACGGAATATCCTCTTTTTTCTCAACTTTTTCCTTGTATATCTTCGGGGAAAACCAGAAGAAACTTCATTAGAATTTATGTTCGTACAGCCCCTAAATATAAGAATTCTACCATATCATAATTAGGACGGGTTTTGTGTAAAGAGAGAGTCAGATGTCAAAAAAGAGCTAATAAACCTTTTAAATCAGTAAGTGAACTGCAAAGAATAAGCAAAGATTATTATTATTATCATTATTATTATTATATTACATGGATTATCTATGATACTATCTACCTACACTTCATTGTGTTTCAACCAACATTCTGTTTAATAGTGGTTTCATTATTAATATTATTATTACTATTTTAACTTTTATTTATGTACATATTAATAAAAAGGAGCTAAATTGTTGCAATATGTACAAAAATTCAGAGAATTCCATTCTGTATTATTCTTATTGTTTGGAACATAATGAATATTATTACATACATATTCATACCCGCATGGAAAAGAAATGATACACACGTGTTTGTCTCATTGCATATCACCTGTTCACTTGTATGTGTGCATCTGTGCATATGCATAAAATTTTTTATAATAAGAATAAGGCCCATAGTCTCAATACACGTAACTAAAGTGATATAATTATTCGAAAGTTTACCAAATATAAGGGTTTCAGTAGACAGTCATCATATATTATATTATCCCTTAGGGTTTCGAGTGGAACATAGGGCTTTAGCAGTATATCTCTATTTCACTCCGTTTTCTGCTGTCTTTTTTCTACGATTGCCTGTAAGCCTTCATTCCCTTTTCACAAAACCTCCTCCATGTCACTCTTGGACGCCCAACTCGTTGTTTCGCATTCGGGTTCCAGTAGACTATCATACTAAGAAAATGTGGTGCTTATTTTCTCGTGAATTTTTCCGATGTTGGTGACATACAAATGATGAACAAAGGAAGGAATATATAGACCCCGAGAAACGGAATTAGTTGTGTTCTCTGAGCTGGTTGATTTAATTGCGAAGCCTTCGTTGTCCTTCTAGACGGTATCTTCAGCTCAGGTTTTAGTATAAAGCAGTCTGCGCCTCTCCATATGCTTCTTTCTTGTCATAAATGGGAAGACTTTACCAAAAGGCAAGTTTCGTGAATGTCTCTGCCAACAGATTTTACCAACCATTGTCAAACATAAACCACCAATTAACTGTCCTCTGAGGTGGAAATTAGCCAAGCAACACACGGAAAACAAACGGTGAAACTAATGATCACTGATGCACACAGTCAGATTAAAACATGCCAGCATATGGTTAAATTTAAAAAAGAAAAGGTTGAACGGACTTCCAACCCAGCACATCTATCAACACTGAACACTGCCATTAGAATATTAAGCGAATGATACAAAGAACGAAGACGAGTTGTTCTTAAGGAAAAATTAGCTAAGATTTCTAAACAACCATCTGAAGAAGAGCTAAATGATTGTGCAGTAAATTTATCGAAACAACCATAATCAAAAAGAGAAGAACAACTTCTTCTGAAAGGACTGAACTACAATATGGGTGACGCCTCAAAAACAGATTTCTGTGCTTCCTTAGAATCACCACCCAAACCATCAAAATTAAATGAGGAAGTACAACAAGAAATACGTCAGTGTATCATCCCCATAATCAAACAGAAAAATCATAATACCCAACTTAACACTCAAGATCAAAATGCATTGATGCAATTGAAGAATAGAAAAGACATAGTTATACTACCGGCTGACAAAGGAAGAAAAACAGTAATCATGGACACAGGAGACTACATAAAGAAAGCAGACGATTTACTCAAAGATAATAATTTATATCAACAGTTGATGAAAAACCCTATACAAACATTAGATAACAAAATCAGAATA